GTAATAGCAGTTTCCGAATGTCTATTCTTATGTCATGGTATTGACCAAAGAGAGATGGAAGGTTTATACTTAAAGATTGTTAGATGTCAAAGGTTAGAAAGTGTTATAGGATTGTATGGTAGTGAAAAAGGTAAAGAGGGGAGCAAATGCAGTAAAACAAAGATGAGAAAAAGAGAAAAGGGTTAAGGGATTAGGCAACTGAATGAAATGGAGTGTATCTGTGACAGTGGTAAGAATAGGGACATTGTTTAAGGAAAACAGAGATGGCTATTGGAGAAGCAGGAGGAGAAGAATTCAGGGAATAAGAAGAGGGGAATTAGGAAGGTGGTGAACTATTAAAAAAAATGTCAGGAGGGGTTTGGAGAAGGACACTGTTGTGAGAGAAGGGATTCACGTGAGCATCCAGACGGGAATGATAAGGATAATGAATGAATGAACAATGAGAAATGAATAATGAATAATGGGGTATGAACAGGGAATGGTGCACATAAAGAAGGAGAGGATGAGGTGTCTGGAGAGTGTAGGAGGAAGGGGGGGTAAGGGGAACTTGAGGAGGAGGATGCATATTGGCAAATACTTCAAATGTAAGGGAATATGAACAGAGGGATTGGAGGGTCGATGAGGGAGCAGAGTGTTCCCCTGGGTCATGTTTAGGAAGTTTTGGATGTCTTCAAGAGTTTTTAGAGGGGAGTTGGGTGAAGAGGTCTGAGAAACAAAGGTTCTCTTGTGAGGAGGAGAAGAGGGGATAGACATCCAAGGAGCAAAGAAAGAGGAGGATGTAGATGTGGTATGAGGATGGAGTGGAATGTTTAGGTTGCCTGGTGCAACAGGTAAAGAGAGGAGGAGGAGGAGGAGGGGTAGGAATCAGGGAAGTAGTAGAGGTTGAAGAATCTGGATGGTTTGAGGTAGAGGGAAGAGATACTGGGGAAATGCTGAGACATCTTGAGAGCAATGCAAAGGACAGTGGAATAGGTTGAAGGAGAAAACTTCATCACTATGCTTAATGCCTGGCTTTAGTTAGAGTGAGCCCTAGCCCATTGGACCCAGATGACATTGCAGTCAAGTTGTGGAAAAACAAGAGTCCAGGGGTGGATGATGTGAACTTACTGTCATCGGGCAAATTGGCCACTGCCCGGGTGATGTGAACTTGCCATCATGAGTGAAGGCCAGGGTGACAGAAAAGACTCGCCACGAATGCACAAACCTTGGTACTTGGGTACTTGGAGTTAGCTAGCCTATGGTATATGTATATAAATGAGGACACTACCAAATAACTGTTAAGAGCCCAGCTTGGGTCATTCCTTAGGATGTGGAAGCGCAGAAGCGTCAATAGGTAATTAGCACCAGGTACACTTGTATGAACTTTTGCTTGTTGCAATTTTGCATACAGCATTTGAGAATGACATTTCACATAGTTATGAATCTGTGAAGGTCTAAAAAAAACAAAAAAACTAAATACCAATATCAGAAAAAAAGAAATGACAAAGTTTTATGATGAAACATTTTGAAAGATTATACTTCACAACAGATTTTTGTACATTTACATGAGAAATATGCTTTTCAATGAGACTCCCTGGATGAATGGGTTTGTATGTGTACCAAGTATGAAGCACAAATGTAAGAAAAAAAAAAAAAAAAAAAAAAAAAAATTCAACAGCTTCAATAATTCCCACCATCCATCTACTTCACACATATAATTCTCAAAATTGAACCATGTTGTATTCAAGCTAGGCCTATATAACTATAAAGATTTTGTACTGATATTGCCTTTCATAGTTCACCATTTCTTTACAAACAAATTTCCTAAAGAAAGAATGTAATAATTAACAAAATAAAATAATACTATTTTCTGGTTTAAGATTAGTTGTCTCTATTACTTTATGCATTTAATAAACATTTCAAACAAGAATATCTACTTTAAGGGGACTATCCCTAAATGGGGTGGGGGGCCAATTATGGGGTTGGGGGGGGTCATACAAATAATACTGATAAATATTTCTAAAAAATAAACGGTCCTAAGGATTTTCTTGATGTTTGGAAAAATGATGTATTTTAATATTCTGCATCTTTTGATTCCAAATTTATGGGGGTTCCCACATGGCGGGCGATGGCCACCGCAAAACATTTTTTTAGATTTTTTTTTTCTTTTTTCATGTCTCTGCAGATGATTCCATGTTCTAGAGGACTATGAATTATGTCATGAAAAAAAATGGGAATGAACATCAATGAATTCCTAAGACAACTACATATCTTTTCTTGGAAATTTGATTTAGTTTCCTCAGAAAAAAAATTTAAAAATAAAAACAATTTTCACCTTTTTTTTTATTTACAAAAATTCATATATAAAAAAAGTAAGCAAGCAACATTTCAAAAATCTGATTCATAGTTGTCTGTGCATTTTCACAAGGTTTCCAAATATATCCAAAATTTTAATCAGATAAAAACTCTGGGGCAAGGAATCTTTCATAGCTAAAAAAAAAAAAAAAAAAAAAAAGAAAGAAAGAAATACAAGCAAACAAGAAGTTGGATAATCAAAGATCATTTTTAATATTTTTTTCATTTATGGATCTTTACCATTTCATTACTGTACAAACTACTACTATTTCTCTTTCAAACACACTTTGTTAGTCAAAGATATGATCCTTAGTCTCCGAGGTATAAAAACAAATAAACAAATGACAAGGGGCAAATTGAGACCCAAGACAATATGACCATTATATAAAATCGGATTTTTCGTGCTTATACCTCTTTTATTATTGTTTTCTTGTGTATACATTTGTTTACATGTGTATACGCATGTAAATAATTGTAAAGATACATGTTCGTGCACATGTATATGCGCATATGCACATATACCCATTAGATCCATAGTTATTTATTTCTTTTATTTATTTTTTTTTTATTCCAGTCTACTCTTCTCCTAAATTGTCTAACCACACTATTCCCCCTTGAAACAAGTGATACACATTTAGTCACGAGCAGAGTACTTGTTATGGAGGAACAATGAATTGTTTAGTGTTCGTTACAAATAACATTCAGAAAACGTTGATATATAAAAAATATTTTGAAATACAAATCGCTTCTATTTGCTTATCGCGGATGCTTCATTTTGTGATGCAACAATAGGTATCACATACATGTAGGCCTATCTTAGGAGTTTACACAAATTAATTATATAATTATACTGTCTTTACCTTTATTTTTTTCATAAAAAGTATTTATAATGACATAGTGATGTTTAATTGATTATTTAGTGTCAAATGAAAGTGCATACTTAACATTATTGCAATCAGAAAAGTCTAAAGTGGTGGTGACACTTGGAACTTTTACGGCTGGGTCCCTGTGAGATGGACTTGACGCTGCTGAGCGCCCAGTCCGTGAAAATATCATTTGTTGCAAGGTTATTTTTAGAGATACAGACTTGTAACTGCTCATGTATTATCACTGAACCCTAAACATACTTGAATGATGAATTTGTCAACATTGAATTATATCTACTATATTTTATGGGAAAGAAATGTGAAAAGTCACAATTTTTTTTTTTTTTTTTTTTTTTTATATCATGAATCTTTCACTTGGAGATAAAACTGTTATAATAGTATACTTTTATCTTCATGTGATCCATTTCAATAGGTAATGTCATTATACAATGCATCATTTTCGCTCCTGTACAGGGAGTGTGTGGAAAGGTGAAAATCGCTGACACAGCAGTAATGGGACTCGGGGTTCTGGCCTCACGTGCTGCCAAAATTTTTCGTTGCTGGAGTTTATATTCATGTGGGTAATTCTACTCTCATTTACGAATATGAAACTGACCATAACTCATTTTCAAACACTCCAACCCAAAATCCCCACCACCACCCAGGGACGGTCCCTTAATATATTATTATTATTATTATTATATTATATTATTATTATTATTATTATTATTATCATTATTATTATATAAAAAAAAAAATCAGAATCAAAATCAAAATATTATCCTAACTGAAAACAATAACTCTGACTGACATGGTAATAACCTAATTTACACTAAATCAGCTTTTTTTAATTATATAATTAGACTTACTGAAAAAAAAAAAAAACTTTGGCAAGTCTATTTCTAATGGTCTCTTCTCAGTTTTTCGTTTACATAAGCTTCTGTACCATTCTGCATTCATAATTCTCCTGTCCCTCTAAATTGGTATGTTGCTTTCGCTAGAGCATCAGAGTGAGCAGGGTATATTGAGGCTTGATTTTTGAATTTCGAAAAAAAAAAAACTAAAAGGTGGTCAACTATGACAACCAGTCCCCCTCCACAAAAAATATAAGGGCATCAAATTGCCTTGCAGAGGACAGATTTAAAACAAGAACATCTATATAAATCAGGGAAAATCTATGGCTTGTATATGATACAGCAGATGGTTAAAACAAAGATAAAATTTTTCAACTTTTGGGGGGCTCCTGCCTCCTATGGGATGAAGCACAATTATATACTCTTTTTCAGATGAAATGACTGGAGCAATGTAGGCATTTTCGGGACGGTCACTTTAAGTGGGAGGAGTGCGGTTGAGCAGGAATGGGTTTACCAATGAAGTCAACCAGGGTAGATATTGTATGGGCTTGGGACTCAGATGTAACTGTGACAAGGTGTGAATGATTGGGATGGCTGAGAAAGGAGACTTTGCCTACTTGTATTTGGAGGCATTGTTAGAAAAGTAGGGTGTTGTCAGAGTACAGGGCTGTAGGGGGAACCACAAAAAATTTATCCCACTTAGATGGGGCTAACAGAGTACTCAAAAGGTTGTAGGGGTGGGAATAGTAGAAAGGCAAGGACGGGAGGAAGAGGAAGTGGTGTGGAGTGTTCTTATGCTGTGATGGAGAAAGCAATAAAGTTGATGAGCTGTAGTATGGGATAAGGATGTTTGAAATGCAGACAATTGTGCAGGAGATGGTGTCAAGGATATTGGGGATGAGAAAAGGGTGTCTTTTGGAAGTTGAGTTACCCTACTGGGTGATTT